TCGCCAGCGATTCGAAACCGCACAGACGGCTGCAAAGGATGTTGGGACGCGTTCTCTGGCACCGGCAGATGCCTTTGAAAAAGACACTGTCGAGGATCCGCTGGGCTTGTTTTCTCCACGGACGAGCCAATTCCTGCCGCCGTCTCTCGCTCCTCCATTCCCAGATGGGCTGGAAGATCGCGTTCCTGGCGGCCCTCATTTTCGGACAGAGACGGCAGACCCTCGGTCTCCCCCTCATGGGAACGAGCGACTCATAATGAGGAATATTGATGAATTTTTATAAAACACTGCCTTAATGGTTTTTAAGACAGCCTGTCTCTGCCGTGATACCTTAGGGTTACGTCGCAGAAATGATTCCATGACCTGATCCTTTTCATCATTCATTCTTTGAGCACTACTTACTTTCGCTCCTCTGTCTCTTCCCGCGTCTTCTTCATCCCTCTACTGGGCCACATTCTTTCTCTCCTTGACTCATTTCTTTTTCATTTATCCGCCATTCACTTCCACTTTTATTTGATCTTCGACTACTTACCTTTGTGTTTTCTATACTTTGATGACTCGATGACCAAAGCAGGCTTTGATGTCGTGATTTGCATTCTTATTCCCAACCTTTATCAGCATTTTTTTTTTTTTCTCGACCAGTGAGTAACTGGTCGACTGGTGGCCTTATTGTTGCATTGATTCAGCATCGACTCGGTCTCGCATGCTTTTGTTGGTCGAACGGCGTCCGGGGTGTTTCAAAAAGAACAAAGTGTGGCATTGTTTGCCTAATAACCTGTAATATTAGTGGTGTTCTGTGACTGTGAGTTAGCCATGGCTTCGATATTCAGAAGCGCCTGGCGTGGTACTCATTTTTGCACACTTGTTGGTGTGATTGCATTTCAAAGAACGGCGAATCCGGAATACCCATTGCACAGTATCCTTGAAACCAATCCATTGAATGGTTCTTGAATCCTTACCGAAGTAGGTCTCTGAGTCTTGTTGTAATTGTTAGTAGATTTGTCCACAGTAGAGGTCTTATCCACAGCGGGCCGAACCCCCGAGTAGACGGGCACTGATTTGGCGCCTCACGTCATCCAGTGGATTTCTGTCCGTATCAACTTTTCATCACCGCATCTATAGACTATAGTTGCCATAGCATTGCACAGCGAAATCATGGCAGACGAGAATCATCCGGCACACCTGTCTCCAAGCGAACTGGGCACGAAGAATTAGTAGGTAGCCGCATGATATCAACCTTTCAGCAGATTTTCCCAGCCTACCCCGCGTACCCCTCCATGCGCAGGTCAACAAGAGGAAAAAAAAAAAAAAAAAAAAAAAAAAAAAAATTAAAATAAAAAAAGCACGACGAACAAGATGGATTCGCTCAAACCCCCATTCCTACTGATTCATATTCATCCCCTTGCTAATCAAGGCCTCAATGCAGCTGGGAAACATACTACGCCCGAACCCTCACCCACCTCTCGAGTAAACACCAGCCAAACGCACGACCAACCCCCACCGCCGACGCGGACGTCGACTCCTCCGTTTCCGAATCCGAGTCTGTAGATGACGATGACGACCCAGGCACATCGTGGTTCTCGGAGCACAACGCCCCCGAGAAAGTCCTCCGCTTCCTAACGGACGAGAGCTTCCCGCTCGCGCCGTGCAATACCCTCCCCGCAACATCTACCACGAAAAGACCGCTAAGCGATGAGGAGAGGCGCAGGCAGCCGAGCATCCTGGACCTGGGGACGGGGAACGGGAGTATGCTTGCGCTGTTGAGGAAGAAGGGCGGGTTCCGGGGTGTGATGGTCGGGGTGGATTATTCGGCGAGGAGTGTGGAGTTGGCGAGGGAGTTGCAGCGGTTGAAGATTCATTCGGCTTATTTGAGTGAAACTGATTCCGAAGGGGAGGAACAAGAAGGTGAGGGAGGGGAAGAGGAAGAGGATGTGGTTGTTTCGAATGGGGCGGAGACTGCGCAGGCGATTCCGGTCCCCGAGGAGGATAACGAGACGGCGATCAGGTTTGAGGAGTGGGATATTCTGAATTCGGAGGGGCAGTTGGAGGAGGAGGGTCGGCTGGATTGGTTCCCGTATGCGCAGGGCGGGTTTGATATCGTGCTTGATAAGGGGACGTTTGATGCGGTTTCGTTGTCGGAGGAGGTGGTGGTTGAGGGAAGATGGAGGGGAAGGTGATCCAGCGCCGTGTGTGTGAGCGGTATCCTGGTATTGCGCGCAGGTTAGTGCGCAAGGGCGGATTCCTGGTTGTGACCAGTTGCAATTGGACCGAGGAGGAGTTGGTTCGCTGGTTCACGAGCGAGGAGGCCAAGGGTCCTGGTTCTGATCGGTTGGAGGTCTGGGGGCGTGTGGAATATCCCAAGTTTAGATTCGGAGGGCAGGAGGGCCAGGGTGTTTGCACGGTGTGCTTTCAGAGGGTGGACTAGTCAGATCTTTGATAGATATATATATATATGTTCGTCATACAAAAGCATCATTCATAACAGTCTAACATATGGAGCTCTTGATAATGTTATATGCATGGAATTGTGACTCCGAAGACCTTCTCAGTACGGCCACAACAAACCATCTGTTCCTGTTCTCCGGCGCCTCGCCCTCTCTCACAGGCACCAACCTCTGCGGACCTCTTCCTTTCGCTGGTGCCAAATTTAGATTCCATTCACAATCCTCTCAATTGCGAAACCATTCTGCATTACGGCCTCGAAGAAAGCAACAATTGCTCGACCTAAGTAGAACCAGCAACGACCCAGATCTGGTCCGCGCGATATTCTCATGCTGAGATCGCATCCATTAGCAGCCCCGGCGGTACGAGGCGTGAGGCAGTCGTGCAGTTGATCAGGAACATTGGTCGTACTGGTCCCCGGATGGTCGGTCACGGTGACCCCTCCGCGGCAACTATAGCTACACTCCAGAGAGATGCGTAAACAGCTTTGTTACTTCCTCAACCTGATTCACCTTGCTTCCTGCGTCAGGGCCGCAATCTCTTCGGCCCGTTCCTCGCTCTGACTGAGGCACGAACGTACCGTCGGGAAATAAATGAGGGAGGAATGCACTCAAGAGGTCCTCGGTTAATTCTTCACATCCTAGGTCGGCTTCACCTAGGAATTCGGGCGCTGCCGCAGAAGCTGAAGAAGATTTAGGAGGAGGGAGGAGTGCTTGTGGGAGAGGGGAAGAAGCCGAGTAACGACATTGAGGCATTCCGAAGCGAAATGGTGGTGGTAGGAGTAGCCAAAGAAAGAGAGCTCAGCATTTTGTTAGAGCTGTGAGAAGCCGATAAAGCTGCTATAAGTAGTTCTGTGATTTGTTAGTAAGGAGCAAATAAGTTCAGTTTTGTTGATGAATTTGAAGCATTTCTTCGCTCCATGAATGAAAGTGGGAACTGAATATTTGTGTATTGTTTAGCTTGATGGGCGCAGAGTCGACATGATATCGATCAATAGGTGTCTCTCGCTCCCTCGTAACTGAGGTGGACTGAAAATGAAGCCTTGAAGACAAGTCCGTTTAGCATAGATAAGTAATGCCATTATTATCTTCATGTCTATCATCTTAGTACCTCTCTAGCCGCATGGAAGTTCCTGGCGATCATGATAGAGCAACGTAACTAAGGCATGCTGAGCTAAGTAAGCAACGTGGGTTTGTGGTAAGCCAGGGTCAGGTGTCTCAATGAGTAATGATACCGGCATGTAACAGTGAAACAGACAAGAGATACGTGTTTCCCTATCTGGGATGGGATGGACACGGGGATCAGGTGTCCAATGTACTGTAAGGCATGGATGACATCATTTGTCTCTTCCCAAAGCCCTAGACCGGTCGACGGGAGAGCGTCGCCAGCGAACCAGAGTACAAATTGTACGGCGGCAGTGACCAAAATTACAGTATGCTCATACGTGGACTGAGCAGTGGGGTCAGCATCCCATACAATCGATAGGATGAGGCAATTCCGATACGGGCAATGGGCGGTGCTGGTGGGGCAGCTTTTTGAGGAAGTCTCCGTAACTGAGTAAATTACCTGATTTATTACGCCTAATGATGTGATCTCCTGCTAAAGTGCCCGTGCGGATGACAGGGCAGCTGATCTCTGGAGTCTTGCCCAGTTCAGTATTCACGTTCAGATCAATAGGTACTTGCGCTCCCGTCTGCTGGAATTCCGTCCGAGTCAGTATTCCATCTAGATATTGGACTCGATCAAGTCTGATGTCTGATGCTCGAAAGTATTCCGGTAGGTAGCATAAGCAGGTGTCTCCCCCAGGTTCAGAGATATGAATTCCAGATCCAAAGTGGATCCTATTATGATCACATCGCTGCCAACTACTGCCAAACCAAGTTATCTACAGCCATTTTTTCTTTGTCCTTGTAACTATGTTAGCTGCTTGTACCTACGCCGTATTTATTGCTGACTCTCGCCCTGTTTTGCCGCGGGCCCTTTCGGGCCCCCTTTAGTCAGGAACCTGTGCGATATCAAATCAAGTTGATCGGAACTCTTTTCTTCAGCCAGGGGAGTTCATCACTTATCTTTTTTTTTTTTTTTCCCCCTTCCCCTCTTCTGTCAAGGTTCAACAAAAATTCTCCTGCAATCCTCAAGCATCAATAATCTTTCTCTTTACTTACTTACTAACCCTCTGATCAATTGCATTTTCTCTATTCAGTAACTGTTTACTGCTCAGTGTCCAGAACCCCCGCATCGCCTCGACTAGCGAATTTCCGCTGGAGCCAAAAATTCCCCCCGCAAAAAGAAGAAATGACAATCTTTAAAGCACGTACAGTTCGGAGGACATGGCAACTATTTGATTATTATTTATTATTATTATTATTATTACTAGCATTAGCATTATTATTTTTATTATTATTATTTAGCATTCTCCATTATTACTAGATAAATATTTACCGTACGGTTCATGTTTAGTCTTGACTTTATATCGCTCATTGATTATTATTAGTAGTAGTAGTAAGTAGCTGTATGTAGTATTAGTATTACCTAGTGGATTACCTAGTTGCAGCAACAGGTGGATTACTTCCTGACTTACATATCCAAAGGTACCTGGACCTCCTCTTGCTTGTCCACCAAATACCCAAGTACCTACTTACATCTACTGCTGCTTCTCTCTTTCAGCTTCTCCTCTTTCTATCTATCTTTCTTTTCCTTCTTTCCCTTTCTCTTCCTCCTACATTTCCTCTCCTCTTCTATTCTCCCTACATATCCTATCCTCTCATCCTCTGCTCTCTCCAATTTCTGGCATTCTATCTACCTTTCCAATTGCTCCTCTCGTCATTTGACTTCCAGTCCATATTACTCATTCAGCCTCGCCAGAACAATTCCAGGTGACTTTCCTCTTATAACCGGCCCAACCACACCACCCTCTCACCACCTTTTTTTTTGGGACCATCACGACCAAACTTTAAAACACACACAACAAAAAGAGTTGCCTTACTAAACTGCCTTGTGTTCACGGGGCTCTCAGCGATTGAAAGTTCGAGAGTCCACGTATACAGCATGGCTTCATTCAAGGTATTTCACCTACCTTTTTTACTTACCCATCTCTTGTCCTCTCTACAGATCCGTCATGAACCATGAATGACCACGTTAAGATGACCGCGCTAACTGATGTGCCTGCTCCCTATTCGAAGGAATTATCCCTGTCCCGACCACTACCTCAGTCCACTCCTCGTCACCATGCCCACTCCATATCCCTTGGAGCGGTCAATCATAACCACCGTGTCACTCGTCGGAAGAGTGTCACCACCGCTGCTGCTGCGAATGCCGCCGCCGCCGCGGTCGCCGCATCCATGAAGGACACCAATGGGGAACCGATAGGTGTGCCGATGCCTTCTCACCGTCGAGGCAGCACCAGGAGGGGCCTGGAATCCACTTCGGTCGGAGCTCTCTCCGGCTTCGGCCACTATCTCTCTCGGAGCATGAACAGCCCCAGTCAAGAACCCGCGGTCGCTCGCAAACCCTCGCCCAATCATTCCAACAACGGCGCTTCTTCCGTCGCCGCAGCTGGCGGCGAGGAGAGTAGTTCGGATAACAAACCCGTCAACACCAAGAGTCGAAACCGTCGGGCCAGCGAAGGATCGCACTTGGTCAAAGGCGAAGGAAAGCGCGCCTTGGCGGAACTACGCTGCGATCGCTGCGGGAAAGGGTATAAGCATGGCAGCTGCTTGTCCAAGCATATGTGTGTATACTCCCCCCTCAATGCCGTCCTTCAGCCTGGATCGAATCGGAGCAATGCGCCATGTCGGCTCTGTTGCAAGGTCGCCCTCGTGGTCATTCAGCTCCCCGCGTCTCCCCAAATCCCTGCTCATTTCCCCCTTTGAGCTTTCTCACCCCTCATGGCGATCCCAGTCGGTTGACATTTGTGGTTGAAAATCTTTAGGTGGGAACATAACCCGGCATGGGCCATTACGTCGAAGCTACTGATCTCCAAGCATCAGCAAGTTCAGCTGCTGGAGGCCGCGAGCGTCCTGGTTAACATGAACCAGAACGGTCCTTCAGAAGGTGCCGAAGCCGAGTCGGACCAGTCATCTGCGTCACCCGACACCTCGTCGGAGCTTCGCGACGGCATCAGCTCGGCGGAAACTACCCCTCCTCCTATGGATGAGGACGACGAGGACGAAGAGGACATGGAGATGTCGGGCATGCCTGTGTTCCCGAACAAACGATACAGTGTGGGCAACGTATCGGCTCACTTTTCCCACTCCTACCGGTCTGTTCCCTCAAGCTCCTTCAACGGTGATGCTCCCCTGCATTCGCCTGCCTTTTCGCACTTCCGGCACTCGAGCATCGACACCCGGCCTTCCACCGCCGAAGCCAAGTTGCATGAGGACGATGAAGCGGATTTGGCCGCTGCCATTGGCCTCTGCAATTTCGGAACGCCGCGCACTGGACCTGTGCCGATGTCCCCTGGCATTCCCCCGGTACCCCGCTCCCGTCTCGCTACCTCGATCAAAGCAATGGTACTCGCAGCATTAGTCAAAGCCTGGACCCTGCCGCTACTGCCAATGACAATTCGTCTCTCACCGAGTCCAACCCGAACATCTTCCTCTCTGTATCATATAACCCATCACTCTCCTACAAGGTCTCCGACGAGCGGGAAGTGAAAATGGGTGATGCGGATCGTGTGCAAAGGCAGAACCGCAATGCCGATGTTGACTTCAGCAACCGTCCTGCTCATGCGGACGACGATGACGATGGCGTCTTTGGTCGTATGGAGGAGTAGAGGGGTTGCCGGTCCATTCTCCCATTGTGCCGCACGCTTCCCTTTCCCCTTCCCTATTATCTCATCTATCCTATCCTTGAGGGTAGATGACACAGCTGTGCCTCAGTTTGTGGTATTTACGATGATGTATGAGCATTGCTTTTTGTCCCAGCCATTTGTCCGTGGTTTCTGCTTTTTTTGGACTTAGCATCCCCGTTCGCGTCTAGGATAATTGTCAGGAACTGTATACCTGAGGCTTGCACCTCGATACTACCTGACTACCTGGGCTTCTGAGATGCATGATGGATATCACTGGTCTATTCAGCTGCATCGCATGGGCTCTTCCTATTGGCCTGACGTCATATTTTTTTATATCCTTCCCTCATTATACCTTTTCATTGTTCTTGTCTTGGTACAAACCATCTCATGTATCATTGATCTCCTCAGGATGCCCATCCCCGGCATGTTTCCTTTTCCATATACAACAGGACATACCTCATTTGCCGATGTCTACGACTGTCCGCTTTCCCTTGTTCTATGTATACAATCCCCGATTGAGTGAGTTGTCAATACGACAATATGATCCCTTATCAAGCATTCATGTAACAACTGTAGAAGTGATTAGATGGGGTTGTAGTGGAGTAGCATTGATGTGTTATGGAGAAGTCGTGCCAGCACATCCGCGAATGAGAATGAATCCATGTGTCCACAGAGATCGAACTCCACACGAGTCCTGAAATCGGATAACACCAACCTCAACCATGCAAGTACAAAAACAATAAAACAGGGCCAGTATCCACGCAATGCATCATCCATCCCGGGTCATAATATCATGGTCATACTATCATAAGTCATCGACCTTTGTTTCGAAGATAGGCTCAGTCAACTCTTCCTCCTAGACAACCCTGTTGGAGGGTGGGTTACAGTTGTCAATCTTGCACTTTGAATCAATATTGCCTGTTGCTTGACTCTGAAGGTCTGAAGGTCTGATATTCTGCGCAAAGAGATTGATTGCGTCTGTTTCTGCGGAGAGTAGAGCCGGTATGACGACTGGTGTGTCGCTTCCTGTGGCTGCACTAGGTTAGAGCTGAAAGATGTGCTGAAGCTCCCTTACTCACCTGTTGTGTTCCTGTGCTTGGTTCTGACATGATGATATCGGCATTTATTCATTAGGAGCAGTGCCGGCAGGATAATCCAATCCTCCTAGGGGATTACCCTTGATCTGCACCAAAGAAGCAGTTCAGCAGAGCTGAATAGAAGTTGGACGGAGGCAAGGAGAACGACGCAACTCCCATATTCCGAAGTCTAGACCGAAGTAGCCCTTGAGACTGCCACTCGAAGCAGTCAGGTCGAAGCGTTGTTATACTGACCGCCGGCTCCAGGTTGCAAAGTCGCTTTATGTGTCATGAGTGGATGATGTGGCAGAAAAAGGATTGAGCAGGAGCACTCATGCGGAGAGAAGAGACACTACGAGACAACAGTGAAAACGATATGTATCTGCCTGAGCGCTTGCATGTACTGTTTGTAGCGAAGGGTTTTGTCAAAGTGTAAAACGTGGTGTCGTCGGCGGTCAAGATATAAACGTGGTATATGTCAGGCTCAGTCTCGGACCTTCAACAAGACGAGCAACCGTTTGTCAAAGAGACAAGAACGACTAAGAACTCAGCCCCGGAGGGCGAACAGTCCTACCACCCGCGTCAGAAAAATGAATCGCAAAAGGCAAGATCTGGGAAACTCACTTCACAACCACGTCTTTACGTGCCATACCGTCACTCGCTCCCGAACTCCACCGCCAGACGCACGAACCTGACACCATGTCTCTCCTTAAAACTATCCCAACTCGCAAGAAGTCGTGGCGACCCACGAGCGGCCGGGCGAGCATTCCCAGGAAGCAAGCAGGCTGCGAGAGTGAAGGAACAGGACCAGGAGGTCCAGTCCGAGGACTGGCCCAATCAACCGACCTTGCCTTCTCCGGCTCCTGAAGAATGACTGGCCCAAGAAGAAAGGAGGGGATACGGAGGCTCACATCTTGGTCCCAGTCGACAACTGCGAAGTCAGACCGACGCAGTACTAGACGAGCTAGTACTGGCCGTAATAGTAGTAAGGAGGTTGGCTGTACATGGGTTGCTGCCAGCCATACGGCGACGGATACACACCCATAACATGTGTGAGAGCCGGGCGAGGACCGCCAAATTGCCCGTGACTCGCGTCTTGCGACGGGACCCTGTTGCCTACAATAAGAGGCGCCTGGCTTTGAGTCGACGCTGGAGGGTCACAGGCGGTTAGACGAGCTGACGGGCAGGGCGCTTCATGCGCCGCCCCGTTCAGACCTTCTTCCCGTTCCCTGAGTCTCCTTGCGTAGCGCTTCCTCTTGGCCTGGCTGGGTCGCTTGCGTCTCCGACTGCCAGAGGTAGGCGCGCCTTCTGCGTCGGCCTCTGGCTCTTCGGCCACCTGTGAACATGGAGAGTCAGGGACCGCCGAAGCGGTATGGCTCTCCCAACCGGCGCGCAAAGCACACACGACTTGGAGCACCAAAATTGGTGACAGGTTCTCCGGACGGCGGAGCACGAGGGCCCACTTCCGGGACGGGTGGAGGGCAGACGAACCGCCTACATCGGACGCGCCTTGGACGGTGTCCGTGAGTCCATCGACGACGCCGTTGGGATTGACCTTCGGCCCTTTGACGGTGCAGGAATCTAGTTCCGGGGACACTGTGACGATCCGCTGGCGCTCCAAACGAGAGATCGCTCTCTCCACCTCAGAGTGGATACTTACGAAGCTCCACGTCTGTTGCTCATCCAACGGGGCCGCAATGGCGGATCTGGTGAGAGCGTCAACATCGGAGCTGGGCACGGCAACCTCCGAGGGCATTCTGCCTTCGACCAGAGCGTCCACCTCTTCGTACAGAGATGGAGCACTGTCGGCCGCAAGGTAGTGGGCTACCTTGGGTGTACCCTCGAGAGATTGGCCGAGCCAACCGAGTTTATCTCCCAGTGCGGAAACACCAAAAGAGACAAGTCCCTTCCAAAGGAGCGCAATGAAAGCCGATAAGCCCCATGCAACGACCAGACCGACACGAGAAGACGACGCGGGCGAGGTTGATGCCGCCGTGTCGCAGTCCACGGGACCGGAATCCACGCAGATCTGCAATACATCGGCCTCCTCCCACAGCGGGATAGCCACGCTGATTGTCGACTTGCGCGTGCCGGTGGCGTTCGGGAAACCTACATGGGCCGCAGGACTTGGGAAACCAGTCGAGCGGACGTACAGGAACTCCTTGTGCCCAGGAGCCGTGTACGTGGAGGTTATGGCCTCCGCCAGGTCGTAGATCCCCTTGGCCAAAGCCGTTGCACCCACGGCGTCGGATATGGTCCTCACGAACCTCCCGTGGGGATCATTGTTTCCTAGCACTTGGAAGAATGATCCCCAGAGAGTGAGGAAGAGAAATCCTCCGACAAAAGGTAAAAGCATTTTCTGTTCTCAACCGTACGTTAGCCACCAACACGCCAGTGAGCTTCAAATGGAGAACAAGAAAGGAGGGAACAGCAAATCTGCTCAATACTTTTTCTTAGTTTTAAGTCGTTTTGAAACGACGCAGAAAAGCAGTCTGATTTGCTAGTGAGAGTTGTTTCAGTGGTTAACGATCAGTGTTGATCTAATAAGCTTGGTGATGATGAGGAGAGAAGAGAGAGAAGAGAGAGAAGAAGAAGAGAAGAGGGGGAGGAGAGATGCCTGGGAGCAACACTTACTGTGCGTCGAGGGCAACTCTCATTCACTGTCGAAGGTGAATCTCGACAGTGAACGCCGTCAGGGGGCTGGCAGGTGAGCTGGTGCAAGTGAGAGAAACACCCCACATACGAGGGACAGAGAAACACAAGCAAGAAATTAGTGTCAAGCCTTGTATTTGAATGGAAATGAACCATATATGAACACCAGAAGGGCTGGAAAGGTCACATATAGGACAAATGCTCGTCATAAGGTCCTCAGGATATGCTTTTGTGATAGCAAACGGTTGAGACACAGAAAGAAACCTAACTCCACCATGTAAACCCAAGATATCATATCTGATGAAAAGGAAAGCAAGAAAGAATTCAGCAAAGAGAAACCCTCTAGTCGAGGTCCATTTCCTCCTCGACACCTCCATCCACCAACAGTCTTGTCTTCTTCTTCTGTCTGAGCTTCTCCTCGCCGACCACTCTGCTTGAGATCTTGCTGACATCCAATGGCTGGCCCTCTTCTCTTTCCCGAAGTTCCTTGCGGATGAGGTGCTCGCCCTGCGCAACGACCCTGCGGTCTTCCTCGCGCTTGCGCTCGCGGGCCACCTTGCCGCCCAGCCTGCGTTTCGTGAACGCACGCTCTCTGCGGGCTCTGATTTCCTCCACTCTCTCCATGGCCTTGATGGTAGCAGCAACCAGGTTTCTGTCGTACTTGACGGGGTGTTCCTCTTCTTGGCGAACTGAGACAGCACCAGGGACGAGTCGACAATCATTTCCTTTCCGCGGGCTGCACGGTGAGTCTTGGTCCACTTCAGCTTTCGCGGTTGACGCTTCATCTTGAAGTTTGCATGACACTTGCTCCGACCTGGAACCGAGTTAGATCTCTTGTCGTGCGTGGAGTGGACGTAGAATGGGGTACTGACAGAATCGGAAAGATTTCGCATCGTTGCGGACGAAGGTGATACCCTTGCTCGGGTACACGGGCCTATTTGAGGAGTCAGTGTCGGGTCCTAATTCTGTAATCAGGTAGATATTACCTGGAGCAAAAATGACAAGTTTCTACCCTCATCGTGATATTAAAGGGACTGGTTTATTGCAAAAAGTTGTTATCGTGAAAAAGGCGGCTCGAAAATCCGTAGAAACTTTTACAAAGCTTCGAAGCGTGGAGGAGACGGCGCTAAACCTAAATAGGCATCGCGGCGGCGTTCCGATTTTTATCTCGACAGCGCTCCGATTTTCTCCAACGTCAGAACTTCGATTGCCATCTCGAATCCATAACGCATCAATATATTGCTTGAGCTGTTCCCTGATCTGCTACGTCTACAGCCCACTTGAGCATGGCTTCAACTTTCGCTGTCGGCCTTGGTGTCGCTACAGCGGCCTTTCTGGTAAGGAAGGAGTTCTGGATGCTACTTTGCGATACTTAGTCGGCTGACTGTTTTCTTTCTGTTCTGCAGGGTCGCGCTGGTTACGTCGCTCTTCGTCGCTACCAGGGAGGTATGAACGCTATGGGAAAGGCATTTTACAAGGGGTAGGTACCATCCGTCCTGATCATATAGTTAGTACGAGCCGGGGTTGGCTGACAGATGCTTAAGAGGATTTGAGCCACGCATGACCCGTCGTGAAGCAGCCCTGATCCTGGAACTTCCGTACGTCTACTAATCCGTCCCTTTCCACTGTTCGCTTTGACTAACAGAGTCAGCGAGCGGTCTCTGAACAAGGACAAGGTCCGCAAGAAGCACCGCCAACTCATGCTGCTGAACCATCCTGATCGTGGTGGAAGCCCTTATCTCGCAACCAAGATCAACGAAGCCAAGGAGTTTTTGGACAAGCACACATAATGATTCCTCTATATCGATAAATCGCTCTCGACAAATCCAGGACCAATGTCGGTGTGCTAGGATTCTTGTCTCGTTTCGAGTATCCGTTCGTCCATTGTACAAAAGATGACTTTTTGTGGGTGCATAGCGTGGCGTTTGGTTGGAATTTGAGGATGGGATATAATCATGGCTTATAAACCCCCGGGCTCCTTTTCGGAGATGTATATTTTCACCGCATTTGTCCTGACGAGATCGCCGCTCCTGATTCTTTAGTTCCGTGCTCCATAATTGTACTTGACTATGCATATTCGAATCACACTGCATTTGAATCTTATCCGCCCTATGCAGTCACTGGACGCTTGATAACAATGTGAAAAGCGATACTGATGAGTTTTGAACCCTGTCGATGTCGATCATTGACGAGGGATGGCTGTGTACTGCCTCATCGACACACACACTGCCAAGGAGATTGATGGATAACGAATACGGCCATACGAAATACGAATACGGTTATTACCGAGGAGCGGATGATAATAACTGAACAAAAGAAGAAATTGGGCAGTGGACTGGGGACTCCGTACTCTAGTAGATAGTTCCTAGTGATGACTTTCGTTGTAGACTCTTCCAGACACAACAACCAAGTCCTGCGCGGAGTGCGTCGACCACGGGATCCGTTTGTGATACTCGATGGATCGTAGATCCTGGATCCTGGATGATTCATGGCTCATGAGGCCATCAGAAACTCGGAAGGGGAAAGCACATGACACCGCCACTCTGGATAAACCACCGGGTTCCAAAGCGATGAAAGGCGGAACCTCGAAATCCCTAAATCCCTTGCTGTGGTTTCGCTCGGATTTCGGGGTTAACGGCTTCCGTTGCGATGATCCCGCTTAGTCGATTGTAGTTAGTCGCGGAAGGAAGAGTGAGAGTAATTTCTAGTTGAAACTCTGATCCACGGGAGACGGACTATCTGTTCTGCGTCTCAGACTACTCCATAGATAGAGTTAGAACTCTGGAAATTATTAATCGGTTGATGGCAGAAACAAAAGGAACAGCGCTCAATCTGTGTGGTCAGGAAGCTTCAGCCCAAGTCTTCTGGCCTGTAAGAATTTAGCTGCACTTTAGTCTCTCAACTAAGCGGACTTGGTCAACCAAAGGCAGCACCGTTTGATACGTAACTGCAATCTGCAAACCGAACTATGATTCCTTCTCTCTTCCTTCAACGAATTTTATCTTCTTCTCCTTGATGATCGTCCTTCTTGACTACATGGTACTTAATCTGCAGCAGTTCTAATCTGCAGCTGACGAGAGAGAAGGATTTTCTCATTTCCCCACCTTTGAAGGTGTAGTATTTGGGCTCGCCACGTGCTTGCCTCGGGGCAAAGATCGAGTAAGCCAGTTGACCGTCTTTGATATCCTTTTATTTTTTCTCGACAGCCTTTGCTGCCTCTACCAGCGATTTCGCGCTGGATGGCGATCGTCATCGACCATCCCTAGTCACTCATGTTGCGTTTGGTCGGATTGGAGCGAATACCAACCTGCTTATCCTCTACATCGGCCACCGGATCTAGATACCAAAACCCCACATTGATCAGATCACTCGAGTCAAACGCCTGTTTAACTCTACTCTACCATTGGAGAGCTACTTGCGACAACAGGCATCATCGGCCATACATGCAGCTGCGATGGACGGTATAGGGGACGGAACAGAGAGCATGGGCTTCGGTATGCCCATGCTAATGAATCAGCAACCTCATTTGTTCGGGTCATACGGACATGATGGCTCTCCCGTCACTCCGGTTTTCTCCAATCCCACCTTTCAAGATGAACCTTCAATCGGGGCGGCGGATGATACCAGTGATGCGAAACGCAGAAGGATCGCGAGGGTGAGTGGGGACGCATCTCATGCTCTGAAGTCTAGCTCACCCGTTGACTTACTGTCTTTGAGGTAGGCCTGCGACATGTGTCGGAAGAAGAAGATCAAATGTGATGGGAAGATGCCCAAATGCTCGCATTGTACCAACTACAAGACGGATTGTGTGTTTACCCAGGTTGAGAAAAAGCGGAATCCTCCTAAAGGGTATGCTTACTTCTCTGCTTCTGGTCCGAATGCCTATGCTGACTTTCCGTCGCGATTAGTGCCAAATATATCGAGGGCCTCGAAAACCGATTAGGGAGGATGGAGTCTTTACTGCGCCTTTCTGGTCTCTTGTCAGAAGACGATGGGGGAAAAACAGATCTTGGAACGCTGGAGAAGCGTCTTGCTGACCGGTATCACACAAGCGGTTCGAATACTCCGCATAATCCGCAGAAGATCAATATCCCCAGCCAGAGTCAGACCGCTATGTCACAGCAAAATAGCTCATCGCACTATTCTACTCCTCGCTTAGAGTCTCAATCAAGCCCACGGACAGCTGCTACGTCCCCGGAATCGCAAAAGGAATCAGAGACGGAGGTTGAAGGCCTGTCAGACATGATGTGTTCCCTGGTGACAAATAATTGTGGGGAGACGCGATACATCGGTAAACCTCCCAATAACTTACATGGTGATAAGGATAAATTACTGACCGTCCTGATCTCAGGTTCGTCATCAGGTTTTTCGATCTTCTCTCCCAAAGGCATCCAATGGGTCAATGAGAAAACGGGCGATACCTCATTTCAAGAAATGATCTCATCAGCCTATGTAGATGACAACAAATGGATGTACTGGAAGCCTGAAATCTTTAGCGATATATTTGCTCGCCGCGTGTTCAAGCCGTTGCCACCGAAGGATGAAGCCATGTCGCTTTTCAAAGACTTCTTCGACAACTTCAACTGCATGTTTCCGCTCTACCACGAGCCGACTTTCATGCACCTGGTCGAACGACAATATTCCCGAGATCCTTACGAAGGTTCCGGCTGGTGGGCCAGCATCAACGTTGTGCTAGCCATTGCTCACAGATTACGAGTTATGAGCAATCTGGTCCCGCAAGAAGAGGACAGGAAAGCCTGGCTATATTTGAAAAATGCCATGGGAGTGCTGACGGAACTGACCATGCGGAATACGGATCTTCTCAGTGTTCAAGCACTGCTTGGAATGGTAAGTTTTAGTCAATGTCAAGAACGCATTACCGTTAGGTGTGCTGACAGCAAATTAGTCTCTTTTCTTACAGGGAACTCCAAACCCCCAGCCGTCCTTCTTCTTGGTTGCGGCGGCAATCAGACTTTCTCACAGCATCGGCCTCCATAAGAGAGGTTCTGGCTTCGGTCTGAACCCAGTGGAAGTTGAACAACGAAAGAGAGTTTTCTGGATCGCCTATCTTCTTGACAAAGAGTAGGTAGAACTAAACACAAGTATCTTGCACTTGTGCTAATCTGCCACATAGCATCTGTCTCCGCTCCGGGCGTCCGCCGGTACAAGACGACGACGACATGAATGTGGAATTACCAAGCGACGATCCACCCGACAACATCGGCAATGTCCCATTATCTGACGGTAGAAGCAAGTTTAACTTGTTCCGATCCATGTGTCGCTTCGCTACTATTGAAAGCAAGGTGTACAAACGGCTATACTCCGCCAAGGCGTCCAAACAGTCCGATGGCGAGCTTCTGAATACTATCGGAGAACTCGACAAGGAACTTGAAGATTGGAAGGACAGTATCCCACTGGATTTTCGTCCAGAACATGAAATCAAGGCTTCGCACACACCTCTCATTCTCCATGTGGTTGTCCTACATTTCGCCTACTATAACTGTTTAACGACCATTCACCGTATGTCTGTGCATCACGGTTATTGGACAAGTCGTCTCTCCAATTACGCCATCCAGGGTCTGAATGCCAGGCCCTTGAATCCTAGGGTCTTCTTATCGGCGGTACTCTGTGTGACTGCTGCCAGGGCGTCTATTAACCTAATTAAATACATTCCGCAGGGAGATTTCGCTTGTGTCTGGTGAGTGCATTGTTCTCTGGAAAGAGATATTGCTTCTAAGCTAACAAAACTCAGGTTGATACTATACTATCCCGTGTCAGCTCTTGTCACACTCTTTGCCAATATTCTCCAGAATCCCAGTGATGCTCGCGCTCGGTCAGATGTCAAGTTGATGAATGTAGTCGTCAATTTCCTGTCGACCTTGGTCTCGGATGAATCGAACGGCAGCATCAAGCGAATGCTTGGTCTATGCGGAGAATTCGAGAGGATTGCGAAGGTGGTCCTTGATAAAGCTGAGAAGGAGTCATATTCGAAGAAGAAGCGCAAATCACCCGAGGAACCGGTCAACCTACAGCAAAGTACCCCCGAAGAGCATCCCGCACCCTCACCCTCGACAACGCAGCCCACTCAGGGGCCGTCAAGAAATGCCCAAATGTCGTCGCCATTGTTCGCTGAAAATCCAGCTGATCCCGGCTGTAATACTATGGCTGACGATGCAGGAGGTTTTGCCCCCAATCGTGAAATCCCCGGGGCGACTGGTATCTCGACCAATATCCCTCCCAACATACAGGCTATGCCCGGTGTTGGACAGGATTACCAGGACATGCTGAGTCCCGATCCGCTGGAAGGTGTCAGTTTTGCCGAGCAGCCACCATTTTCGGCGACCGCAAATACCCCTTTGTCATCCTTTCAGCAGCCCTTCGTCCCTCAAGATTTGTGGCAGATGCCGATGACCATCGAATGGGACTGGGCAGACATGTCAACAAATTTCCCGGTCTTTGACACCAACGGTCCACCCCACGGTGGATTGTGATGACAGCCTAATAATGATTAAAACCGAATAACGAATCGGACACCAGCGTGGGAGGCTAATATGGGCTCAGTAGAGCATCGGAGTTTAACGGAGTCAAGCCGGGCTTTCTCTACTCGCTTGCTGCTGTGCATTTATTTTCTTTTCTTTCACATTCTCAGGCATAAAAGGCGTTTATGGCTTGTGAAGAATCTCGACAACACTCCACTTGCTCATCTTATCCATTGGATAATGTTTATCACGATTTGTACAAAATAGTAGAATGCCTCTGGTCAAGGCGGAAAGGAAGGGTTAACTTCAATATGAAACACATACTCATATAACCGACGTGTAACAATATGCCTTGATCAGATGCATGCGTCTGATTTGAAACGACCCGAAAGGCCATAGATAATGCGTAATGGATTTATTTCGAACAATCATACCTAAATCATACTTTAAAGTCGTCGGTCATCATGTCCGTTGAGATTCCGATGCGGCCTTTCTGGTTGCGATGGATGAGTCAGCAAACCAGCGGAACTGCGAAAAATCCCAGGCCGACGGAAGGTGTCAATGGATGGCGGCGAACTGCTTCCGCAAGAGCTCCTCTTAGGCCCGAACACGCATTTCCTATCCTCCTTTTTGTCTCATCTAGAGCCTCTATGGCTTCCGCGGACTCTCTTTCTAACTGAAGTGAGCCTAATTTAATCCTTTAACCCCGCCTTCGGGCTCATCTACCTCGACCATGGCCACCTTACTCAGACGGCCAGGCAATCTTGCTCGGTATTCGAGGAGAGCCGCAGAATGCATCAATCGCACACGTCCGCTGTCTGCGCATGTTCCGCAGTCGAGATTATCATCGTTGATCACGGCCCACCGTGTTAGGACCTATGCTACTGGAACCCCCGGGGGTCCGAAGCCCCCGAACGACAAAGGCGGCCAGAACAAAGCAGCGACGGGACCGGAGAATGACGGCGGGAAACCTGCTGATGGGAAGACGCCGAAAGAACCCGAGTCTCCTCTTAGCAAGGAGGAGCAGGAACAAGTTAATCTATTCGTCGACCACCTGAAGAACAAGGTGCCGCCATCGCAACATCAGATGCTGGATGATATACGGACACTGTTGCTAAGGGAGGGATTACCGGCGGAGATTCAGCAGTTCATCAAGAAGCACGTTCAGTCCGGAAGGCCGGCGTCTCTGATGGATTATGTCAAGTTAACACGATACATGTCGCAGCACATGACCGACTACGCCTACAAACTGAACCAGATCGAGGAGGACCGGAATAAGGAGAAAGCCAAGTCAGAGGGCGTTGCACAGGGCGAGCAGCAAAAGCAACAACAGCAGCAGGAGCAGCAGCGAGAGCAAAAGAAGGATCGAGATCAGGCGAACAAGCAAATACCTCCGAATTTCCGGACCTTCGAGTTCAAGTTCGACCCCGCCTCGTTTTTGATCACCTCGCTCATCACCTACTATGTATACCGCAGCTTCTTTCCTGGGGAAAGCAGCAAGGAGATAACATGGCAAGAGTTTAGAGCGAACTTCTTCGACAAGGGCCTTGTCGAAAAGCTGACGGTTATCAATCATGCCGTAGTCAAGGTGGACTTGCACCGCGACGCGTTGGCTCGGGTATACCCTGACTCGCCGGCGTTACAGCCGAATTTCCACTATTACTTTGGTATTGGTTCCGTGGATAGCTTTGAGCGCAGGCTGGATGAAGCTCAGCATGAGCTTGGGATTCCAAGCTCCGAGCGGATTCCCGTCGCCTTCGTTGACGAGGTACCATGGCTTACCACATTTCTGTCCGTCGCTCCTACACTTTTCCTGATAGGTTCTTTCTTCTGGCTGTCGAGACGTGCTGCCGGCGGTGCGGGTGGTCAGAGCGGAATCTTCGGTATGGGAAGGAGCCGGGCCAAGCGCTTCAATCACGAAACCGATATCAAGATCAAGTTTTCCGACGTCGCGGGTATGGACGAAGCAAAGGTCGAAATCATGGAATTCGTCAGCTTCCTCAAGACCCCCGAAAAGTTCCAGAAACTCGGTGCCAAGATCCCTCGCGGTGCCATCCTCTCAGGTCCTCCCGGTACGGGTAAGACGTTGCTCGCAAAGGCCACTGCTGGTGAATCTGGCGTACCCTTCTTCAGCGTCAGCGGTTCCGAGTTCGTCGAAATGTTCGTTGGTGTCGGTCCTTCCCGTGTTCGTGATCTTTTCGCCAACGCCCGGAAGAATGCCCCTTGCATCATCTTCATCGACGAAATCGATGCCATCGGTAAATCTAGGGCCAAACAGAGCTTCGGTGGAGGTAATGATGAGCGGGAGAGCACCCTGAACCAGATCCTGACGGAGATGGATGGTTTCAACACTACGGAACAAGTTGTCGTTCTCGCTGGTACCAACAGACCCGATGTTCTCGACAAGGCTTTGATGCGGCCTGGACGATTTGATCGGCACATTGGTATCGACAGACCAACGATGGAAGGCCGGAAACAGATCTTCCGCGTCCATCTGAAGAAGGTCGTGACCAAGGAGGATATGGATTATCTTGAAGGAAGACTCGCTGCTTTGACACCTGGCTTCGCTGGTGCTGACATTGCTAACTGTGTCAATGAGGCAGCTTTAGTTGGTAAGTTTCAAAATTTTGGTTTGTGGGTGTCCAGCAATGCTAATTTTCTCATTAGCGGCTCGTGAGAACGCCGAGTCCATCACCATGAGGCACTTTGAACAGGCTATCGAGCGTGTCGTCGGAGGTTTGGAAAAGAAATCACTTGTGCTCTCTCCCGAAGAGAAGCGGACGGTCGCTTACCACGAGGCTGGACACGCTATCTGTGGCTGGTACTTCCGCTGGGCCGATCCTCTGCTCAAAGTCTCGATTATTCCTCGGGGTCAAGGAGCTTTGGGTTACGCACAGTATCTGCCAGCGGGTGGTGACACTTACCTGATGAACGTAAACCAGCTGATGGATCGCATGGCTATGACTCTGGGAGGCCGTGTCAGCGAAGAGCTGCACTTCGACACTGTTACCAGCGGCGCCAGCGATGATTTCAACAAAGTTACCCGCATGGCAACTGCCATGGTAACCAAGTTCGGCATGTCGCCCAAGCTCAGATACATCTACTACGAGGAGGACCCTCAACAGCAGCTTCACAAGCCCTTCTCCGAGGACACCGCTCGGGAGATCGACAGCGAAGTCCGCCGCATCGTCAATGAGGCATACAACCAATGCCGCGCTCTACTCACTGAGAAAAAGAAGGAAGTTGGCATTGTCGCCGAAGAGCTCCTGGCCAAGGAAGTCCTCAGCCGTGATGACATGATTAGACTCCTCGGTCCCAGACCCTATCCCGACTCTGGCGAGTTCGCCAAGTACTTTGGTGCCGCCCAAGGACAGACCATTGCTCCTCCCGAGCCTACGCCGCCAGTTGAAGGAGGTTCCGAGGGTGGTGCTAAACCGCCCTCGTAGGCAACGAACTATAGAAACAACGGAATATCCATGCTCAGGCGAGGAGGGTGCTACATGTTTCTTTATGCCAGGTTTTGTATTTATTGAACGATTGAAGCCTCTCCGCTGTCTTCACATCTTATCCTCCCCGTTGGGTTTCACTTGTATCATAAATATTAGGATTTTTGTGATGTCTCTGCATTTCCCTTCCTCTTCACTCATCTCGTTCGCGTTTCAACTCTGATTTTAGACTTATCTAGTGTACTCCTGTATAATATGTAACCATCTAGGCCTGGGTGGTGGAGTATCAATTTGACACAATTAGGACGCTATGTGACTCGGATTTCTCATATTCCTTTGAACTCTGAGAGTAGCAGCCTTGTGTTTGCCTGGTAGCGTAACTAATCAAACCTTGATATAGCGGATCGAATACTCCGACCTGAAATTTCACTCAAACATGACAATATATATATCAAGAAATTCCAGTTCCCCAGTGTCCCAGAAATTAAAAGTGAAGAAAATAAATCGACAGAAATCCTGCATCGGAACCCCAACCCTCTCCCATCACTGACTTTTCTTGCCGTCCTGCGTAGACTGACCACCAGCGCCTGCCGACTCAGTCTCGGACCGAGGGGCTTTCTTCTTCTTGCTGCCATTGTACTTGGGCTTGACAGAAAAGCGAGGAATGAAGCGTCCCACACGCGCCTGGTACTCGCTGTATTCAGGGTACTTGCCTGCACTGATCGACTCGGTGAGCCGGGTGCTTGACTGGAAAATGAGCATGTAGCCCAAAACACCCAGTCCAGTCCACTGAATGTAGCTGTCGGTGCGGTAGCAGTTCCAGAGGTACAGAGTGAGCCAGATTGCTTGCTCGGCGACAAAATTCGGGTGACGGGACAGTGACCAGAGACCGCTAACGACGAAGCCGCGCTCCAGGTCCTCGGGAGTGAATTGGCCTTTGTACTGGTCGGGGATGCGAGCTGTCTTCTGGTACTCCTTCTTTGCGTTTTGGAAGTTCCATTGCTGCTGGTCGGCGAAGTATTCGATGATGAGGAAGAAGAATGCAAGGCGGGAGAAAATAAGGTCGGGGAGGCCGAACGGTTCAACTCCAGGGAGGCGCGAGAGGAGAATGAAGTTGTAGGTAGGCGCCGTCACAAGGAGAAGGAGCATTGGCTGAATGAAGCTGACGAAGGTGACGTTGAGCAGGAAGAGCAGGAACCGGTTGTTGATCTGGGACTTGACAATATCCCAGCGGTAGTCCTCAGAACCAATCTGATAACCTCCCTTGCGCCAGTAGTTGAAGGTCAAGCGGATCTAAGCGGAATTAGAGTCGGTGGCAGATACAGAGTCGTCCCGTTAATATAACTTACACTCCAGAGCAATGTGATGAGTGCGATCGTATCCAGGCTCTGATTCTTAATGCCCCACATGCGCGCCCAAGCGACAAAGTGCACATTATACACAGACGGCAGGATACTCCAAAACCGATCAACTTGCGAGTAGTTGCGGTTGAATTCCGCAGCCACGATGAAGAGCACCCACAAAACCAAAGTGAACACCAGCGCGGAGATGAATGGGTTTGTCGACAGATATATATCCTTCAGAGCGTCCACATCTTTCGTTGCGGCGGCCACTTGCAGCTGCGCAGGAAGCGTTGTCAACTGCGACAGGAAGGGCAGCACGGTGCGGTTGAAAGAGGCACAGTCCACAACAGAGTGAACCTGAGGAAGTGGGATCGCCATCTCGAAGGGCTTCAGAACAGGTGTCGCAGTTTGAAACTATTGCACACCTGACGGTAATTCTGAGATGTTGTCTTGTCGATCGCGGAGATCAAAACATCGAGGCAAAACAAAGAGATGGATGCCATCATGACAACGCGGACGAGCGTTCTCATTGGCCAGCACGCTTACCGCTTTGGGCGACGAAGATTGGGGTCCACTGATATGGCTGCCTCAGGCGTTAAGGCTCTAAGGCATACAGGCAGAAATCTACTATCTCCGTTTCTGGAACTTGATCGCGTCTTTGCGCGTCTCGATTGTTCCTCTACTCGAGGAAGAAATAATGTCGGGTTCATGACCTGAGTGTCAACAAGGGTAGATCGAGCATGGCATAACCGAGACTTTTTAAATTAACGGGCCATTTGCTATGCCTGTCCCAAGGATTCTCTGCGTGGCAGAGAAACCTGCCATCGCTAAAGCTGTGGCTCAGCATCTTTCCGGGGTTCCATGCAAACTGTGAGTGACCGTTGGCAAGACGGCACGGGTTATTGAAGTCACATATACTGAGATAGACATAGATATCTATACACGGTAATAAATATGTGAAGAACTATTTATTTGAGTTCAATTTCGGTGACCCCTGGGGCACCTGCTCAGTCACAATGACCAGCGTGCTGGGACATTTGATGGCCCTCGACTTCGAGAGCCAGTACAAAAGCTGGCTCTCATGCCCACCGGGCGCACTCTTTGAAGCTCCTGTGCGCGAATTTGTGGAAGAAGTACGCAATACCAACTTCTTTTCGGTCATCAAGGACCTGGTCACGGGTAGCTCTTGGACCACGCAGCTAGGCTAACTCTGTGTACAGGACAAGAAGCCAATCGCAGAAAACATCAAGGAGCAGGCCAGGATGTCGAAGGCTCTATTTATCTGGACCGACTGTGATCGAGAGGGAGAGCACATCGGTACCGAAGTCCGCAAAAAAGCCAAAGAGGGAAACCAGCGTATCATGGTCAAAAGAGCTCGATTCAGCAACACAGAGAGGGCGTAAGTGTATAAGGATGATATATAACTCTTTCATCAGTAATGCTCACCTGATCACAGGCATGTTCTACGCGCTGCTCGGGCCCTCATAGATGTGGATGAGAACCAAGCAAATGCAGTTGCTGCCAGAATCGAACTCGACCTGCGAATTGGTGCTGCATTCACCCGATTGCAGAGTCTTCAACTACAGCGTATGTGTGCTGATCTGGCAAATAAACTCATCAGTTACGGTACGTAGTTGGCCTACCTTTGAGCTTGCCTGATTTCAGTATCCATCCTGGCTAACTCAATCAACAGGATCATGTCAATTTCCCACACTGGGCTTTGTTGTTGATCGATATCTACGAGTGAAGAATTTCAAGCCGGAGACTTTCTGGGGAATTAAGGTGGTTCACGTCCAAGAAAGAAAAAAAGTCAACTTCTTGTGGAGGAGAGTCCATCTTTTCGGCAGGGCGGCCGTGATCGTCATGCTGGAAAGATGTCTGCTAGCAAAGACCGCTAAAGTCACGAAAGTCAACCAAAAACCTACCAGCAAATGGAGACCTCTGCCGTTGACAACGGTGGACTTGCAGATGATGGGCAGCAGGTACCTTCGCATGGACAGTTCAGCGGTCATGAAGGTATGCAGTCTGTACACTATTTTTAAGCTCTCGCCGTGAGGCTCATCAAGATTTAGGCTGCAGAATCTCTCTATACCAAAGGCTACATCAGTTATCCTCGTACGGAGACCGATCAATTTGACAAAGGGATTGATTTGAAGAAGTTAATTGAGAAGCAATACCCTGATAACAACTGGGGTGAATATGCCCGAGGGTAAGACTTCTCTAAAGCGGACATTCTCCAACATAACTGACTCTCCCAACTACGAAGTCTCATCAATGGCGCGTTCAAAACTCCTCGTTCGGGACGCCACAATGACCGCGCGCATCCACCTATCCACCCAGTGTGCTGGGTCTCACCAAGTGCACTGAACGCCGACGAGAAGAAAGTCTACGAGTTTGTAGTCAGGCGATTTCTCGCTTGCTGCTCCGATGACGCAAAAGGTCAAAGCACCGAGATTGAGATCCAATATGGCGACGAGATGTTTCACGCCAACGGACTGATCGTTCTGGAAAAGAACTACCTTGAAGTTTACGTCTACGACAAGTGGGAGAGCAGCCAACAACTGCCCAACTTCCGAGTTGGTGAAGTTTTCGTGCCGACTGAAGCCAACATGTTCGAGGGCAAGACAACGGCCCCCAACTACTTGACCGAACCAGAGCTCATCGGGCTCATGGACGCGAACGGAATAGGGACGGATGCCACCATGGCCGAACACATTGCCAAAATCAAGGAGCGCGAGTACGTCGCCGTTCATTCGCGAGGAAGTGGTCGGAACGCTGTGAAGGAATTCATCCCAACTCGCCTAGGTATTGCCTTGGTGGAAGGCTATGACAACGTGGTCGCCAATCTACCGGATAAACCGTCACTCAGCAAGCCATTCCTGCGTAAGGAAATGGAGCTCCGTATGCGTGAGATCTGTGCAGGCTCCAAATCGCGCCAGGAGGTTGTTCAGGAGAGTCTGGACATGTACCGCGAGGTCTTCATTCATACTCAGAGACGTATCGATATGCTGAAGGCAGCCTGTCGAAAATACCTGATTGAGCAGGCCACCGTTTGATATTTTGTTGAGGATTTCTGCATCGTTGATTTGGCGTTGAGGCTTGCTGTGGCCTATTGACTTTACGATATCTGATACCCTTGATTGACTAGGCTTTCCTTTCACCAGACTGAATCAACATGAGAAATATTACATTTGCAACCACGTGAACAAATATGACTTGTTCCAAGCTACCAAAATTCGGTCTCAGACAGCAGAAAACAACAAAGCAACCTACATAGAACACCAATTCAGGATTCTCCAAACTGAATCAGACAAACGACAAGTAAATTCTGGTGGCACAAAGAGCAACAAACAATCACAAAAACAAAACATAGAGCTAAATCAAAGAAGTCTACTGAAAAATCATTAATCCTGAACTATGCACTTGCGTTCAAAAGGTTTCACCAAGGTCTCCTTTCGGGTTCTTTTCGGAGGGCAAGGAAACACTCTTTGATCTCTGTGCGGTTGGAGACTCATCATCAGCCCACCTGCTTTTGCTCAGTCCAGCAGAAGTGGGTGCATCCAGCTTTGGAGAAGCTTGGACTGTAGCTGGACTAGCCTTCTGGCTAGAGTCAGTCCACCTGCTTTTGCTCATTTCAGCAGAAGGGGATGCTGCCAGCTTTGGAGGACCTTGAGTTGAAGCTGGGCTAGCTGACTGATCCCCTTCAGTCCCTCCATGAGCAGGCGTTCTGGACTGAGCCTGCGTCGGAGTTGTGGCCCACCTGCTCTTGCTCATTTCGGCAGAGGCAGACTCAGTGCTTGACTTTGAAGGCGATTGAGCTGAAGCCGTGCCAGCTCCTTTGCCCTTCTCGCGCTTTGCGGAGAAGGTAGATGCCTCCGGGTTCAAACCGGGTGTTCTTGGGGTGTGCTTCTTAGATGATTTGCCCTTCGCAGACCCCAGTGTCTGAGACGACTCGGTTTCTTCTGATGTCTTCGGTTGCGCTTGAGTCGCAGTTGCGGGAGTCCACATACTCTTGCTCATTCCGGCGGAGGCAGACTGAGTGTTTGGCTTCGAAGGCGGCTGGGTTAGAATTGGCGCAACCAACTGGCCCCCTTCAGTCTCTCCATGAGTAGGGGTTTTGGACTGAGCCAGGGTCGGAGTTGAGGGAGCCCACCTACTCTTGCTCAGTTCAGCAGAGGTAGGCTCAGTGTTGGGCTTTGAAGGCGACTGAGTCGAAGCGTGGCCCTTCTCGAGCCTTGCGGAGGTAGATGTCTCGGTCTTCAGACGGAGGGGTTCTGGGGCGTGCTTCCCAGATGATTTGCCCTTCGCAGACCCCGGAGTCTGAGGAGACTGGGTTCCTACTGATGCCTTCGGTTGCGCTATAATCTCTTTGTGGGTTCCCAGTGCAGCAGATTCGTGGCCCTTCTCACCCTCTTGATTATGTTCTGCTCGCGCTTGTGCTGTTTCTGCTTTGTCGTGCTTTGCAGCTTCATCACCCCGACCTGCTACGGGCGATTGCTTTGGACCACTAAGTGCTTTGGGAGCTTGTTTTGAACTCCTCGGACTGATCAGCTCAGACTCGGCACTCGCGCGGCGTTGATCGTCGGATGTCTGTACTGGTTTGTTTATTTGAGCTTCGCCCTTTGGGGTTCCTGCTTCATCCTTTGTAGGTTGGGCTTTCTCCTTTGGCGATTGGGCCTCGAATCCTGCGCCTTGTCCTTCCTTCTGTGAGGGCCATTCACCGACAACGTCGGTCCCGGCTCTATGTGCGCCATGCTCTGCAGCAAGATCTTCATCCTTCGACTCGGACTTTTCGACTGGATCCTGGTTCCTATCGCGCACAGTCACTAGATCAGCGGCGCTCAAGTCAAATTTGATGCCAAGAGCGGCCATGCATTTTTCTAGGTGTCCCCAAATACTCATGTTCATGTTCCTTTGATGCCACTTGTATTCTTCGAGCTTATCCTTGGTTTCGGTTGATATGTGCATCCGGGCATTCGTTTCCAAGATACTCCTGGTTACTCTGCTGATCTTCTGCTTAATTCCGTCTTCAAGCTCCTTATTCCACTCTAAGGAACGGTTGACGGCTTCGCGCAGACTTTTGTGTTCAAGAGCGTGTGTGTCAAGATCCTTTCTGAAGCTTTGTACCTCCTTTGCTGAATCATCGATTGCCCTTTCGATATCTTCCAATTGTTTGGCAAGTTCAGGGTCTTTGTTCTTCGACTTGAACACAGCGTTCTTGACTTCATCCAAAGCTTCCATGAGCCCGTGGAGTTGGTTTTTCATTCCTTCAGTTTGTTGCTCGAGGTGCGCGGCTATTTGTCTCAAAGCTTCTTTCACTTGTGTTTCGGTGACGGTTGAGTCGAGCTTTGACTGGATTTCCGCATGCGAATTCTTCAGACTGATTACGGCTTGGTCGAGTTCGTCAAGTTCCTGTT